AAGTTTTAAATGCATATGTTTTTCCTAAATGAAAGAGCTTCTCCAAAGCCTCATAGATGAATATAATACAAATGAGAGCCGCAAACGCTTCTTCTGTGAACCGAGTAATGTAACATACAAGGCTGCTTGCATCTGTTGCAACCAACACAATGCACAAGAAAGAAGTCCAAAGACCAATACTGGTTCTTAATGATAAATAGGAAAGGTGATAATCTCTGTTTAGAAATATAAATGGGGACATGGTCACCATGTTACATAGAATAGCATTTGCACCTAAAACTTTTTATAGCACAAAAGCAGTTCTTTAAATATAACAATTACTAAATGGCAAAATAATGATTAGCTAAAACTCTGCTTCAACTGAAGACTTGGATATTATATAAATGATTTAATGTGAAGATATACTAGAACAATAAATGCATCAAATCATGAGACCTCAGCTACATGGAATAAATGATATATGAAACAACTGTGGTGGATTCCCTCTGAAGATGTAGAGTCTACACATGTTAATATGGCAAAGACATCCACCACTACTCCCTCATTACACACCACTATCACTAGAGGAAAGCAGTTTCTTATTTTTAATTTCTAATAATGGATTACTCTAGGAGGCTATACTTCAGGTCATTTCATCTCTATTAGTCTACAGAGGGTGCCAAATCAGAATCAGCTTGGCTAGTGGGCAATCAGAACAAGAGTTACATTAATCAAATATTCAAATGCACTATGGTATTTCAGTTTAAAATATTCAATTTCATTGATGTCACGCAAGGAATGGTCTTGACTATGTTGAATTCAAAGTCTATTAGGTACATACCATGTTCATATTAGGTTCATACTATGAACAGCCTAGCTAGTAGACACTGACACCTCTCTCTGATGGCCTTGAGCCCATTACATAGGATAGACTGGCGATGTCAAACTGGGCTTTCAAGATCTACTTCACTTTAAAGTTCCTGTGCAAGACCAGCATTTCACCCAATCAACAGACCAAATAAACATCTTACTGATTTAATCTTGTTAGCACTAAGGATTTCTATTGTTCCTCAAATTAGCAATATTCTAATCCATTAAATTCACATTGGTGAACAATCTTATTTTCTTCTCAACATTACTGAATAGGAATGGTGGTGGTCAGGACCCTTGGTAAGGTCAACCACATAGGTGTGCAAAGATATTGAAAATATACTTATCGTTAATACAACTAAATGTAGTTCATAAATAATACAATATAATTAATATAATTGCACATATATGCAAATACATGGGATGACAATAGTCACTTACCTACAGAATTTAAATAAAATTTTTTCAAACACTAGGACTGGACCTGTGCTCCCCAGTATTGTTAGAGGTTGCCCAGCAAACAATGAATAGGCAATCCCAGTTAATGATGCTCCAAAAAGAGACTCTATTGCACTCTGTTTAAGGGTAAAAAAAAAATGAATAGAGGCAACACATCAAAAACTTATCTCTAACTTACTATAACACAATGTAAGACATCTGGAAAACATACATTCTAACCAAGTAGTTACAAATATAAAGGAAACACATTATTGTGCTTTAAAACTAAATGTGTGGAAAATTGTAATTCTATCTCAAGTACATCAGTAAAGTTGCTTTATTTTTGCAAACTTTTGACAATCATCATTAATTCAAAACAACACTGCAAGACACAAAGCACAAAGAATAAATGGGAGAGAAACACCCAGAGCTTCAACATCATCTATGGATGTTTTATTTTGATGTCTATGGCAAATAAAAAAATGTATTATTTTTATTACTTTTATATGACTGAAATATTCACCTTAAAAATAAAAAGTGCATTAAATATTCAACATGGAAATTATACAAAAAATTGCAAAAAGATATATGTGTGAAACTCTCAAACTTTTCTTAAAAATGCAACTTTTCATATATTTTAAAATAATTACTCTAACATGACAGCCTTAGTTAACCAATTTATATTGAAATGATAAAATTAACAAAGTAAATGAAAAAAAAAAAGCTCTGTAAAAAATTCACAGACACCATAAATGACAAAGTATCTTATCACTATGAGATAAAAAGAGAAAATGAAAATCTCAAACACATTTTGAGTTAGGAATACCAATTTTATTTCACCATCAGCACTATAGCCTAGTTAAGGAGGTTATTAGATGGTAAAGCAATGATAATGTGCTATGCCACTAGACAAGGGGACAGAAAGAAAGGAAAAGAGTTTATCATTCTTAAGCATCAAAGCCAACTCAGAAGCGCTATCCAGAAAGGAAAAAGCCCAGGATTGGTAAAAGCTAGAAAAGAAGTGGTAAGAAGCAATATTCTTGAAACAAGAGGCAGCATAGCAGCAGCAAAGACAGGGCTGACATGGAAGACTGGTCACTACCACAGAGGAGTCATGGAGGCACCTTAACCTTTTCTAGCCAAGCTCTCTCATTTGTAAATGGGGGTAATGATAATTAGGAGACACTAACTAGTATTTCTGAAAACACCTACAAATACTGTATTACTTGGGGCATAGTAAACAAATGGCAGCAATTTTTACCATCAACTCTAACAACATGCTCTAAATTCAGAATCACAAAGTAACAGGATAATGAAAATATAATTGAACTACTGACAGCATGGAAAACAAGCATCTGTATTAATAATACGTGTTAACTATATAGGAGAAATCTATTTTCTTTCTAAAAAATAAGTTGCACTACAGGACATGAGTAAGGCATCATAAACTCCTTAATTCTATCAAAATGTGCATATTTAAGAATGAATTTAGATGAGATTGAGTTAAAGGAGGAAATTATAAATCCATAAAAAGAGCAAAAACTCTGAGGAGGGATATCATAAACTGTAATGAGGTAGGTGGGCACAAAACAGAAGCCCCTCCTCCAGTAGGGGTTCAAAATGTAGACACTGCCACCAGAAACTCTGTGTTTTATGCCCCCAGCCCTATGGCCACACAAACCTCCCCTTCTCAAAACAACTTTTCCCTAATTTGGAAAACTCCTTTATCCATTTCCACAATGAAACCTGTATTTTCCTACAGAAATCTCAGGTCCTTAAGCACCACTGAAGTTTCTAATTACCCAACAAAAGCCTCACGTGTCTATCGGCACCTGCGCCATCCTATCACTTGACACTGGGCACACCTGGCTGTTTCTTTCAAGCTTCTAGCTTGATTTCCACAAAATGATGCCATCTTCCTTCCTCTTCTAGGGCTCCAACTGTCTAACTTGCTTGGTCATTTTACTCCTCCATTCTACTTTCCACTCCATACACAGAGCTAATTTTCTACTCTTCTCTCCCTATGATCTATCTCAGTTTCAAGCCTCACTGATAATATGAATTGTCCCTAATCTTTACATTCATCCTATTATTCCATAACCTCTGAAAATGAGCCTCCTAATATGTCCATTTCTACAAAGCACAGTAAACAAACACCTCATCTCCACACTGTTTCCTCTATGAAATGCCTGATTTCTCTATTTCTATCACTCCAGTTCCCACAGTGCTCCTTGCATCTCACAGGTGCAGCACATAAAAGCTACAACGCCTATGTATGTAGTTTCCTATCTATCACTTCGGTTAGGACCCCTCTGCCACACTTGTCTCTCCTCCTACTCCGGTGCTAAACACTATCTCAGGCACCAGGTGTTGAAGAACAAAAGGAGATGACAGGTAGTGACGAACTGAGTCAAGGAGCAGTACTTCCATGACATAATGGATAAAACACATTCCACAGAGACCAACAGTTATATGTTCTATTTTTGACAACATATAAAGCAACTTACTAAAAATATGCATATTTGAAACAATGATTAAAGGAAAAGTGAAAAGGAATCTAAACAATAAAAAGTAAATTCAGAATTAGAAAATTCCTGTTAGTTTTTCACCTCATGTTCAGGTCAAGATATGCCTTTATAATTATATTTAGCTTTGGCAATTTTTTAAAAACCTTTATATATAAAAGTACAAATTTTCTCCAGAGTAAATATCAAAGCACACTTGAGAACTTAAGAATTATAAACAGTATCACTTAAATGCCAATTATAAATCATCTCACATACACCCAAAAAAATGCCTTTCAAGATTTTACACAGTATCACAGTTCCTAGTGTAGTATTAACACATACAGCAAATGTAATTTTCACATCTACATCAAAGAAGATTGGCGGTGCTTGCTCAATTACAAATAAAAACTTTGGCTACTTTCACACAGATTAATAACAACGAAATGAAAATAAACATAACTTCAACACTTCATCCTCTCTACAGTTATGTTCTGCTCTTTCAAAGACTCATCTCAGTCTACCAGCAAGGGCTTATGAGTTAAATACAAACCATAACTCTAATCCTATGATAATTTACAGGATGAGGAGGCCCATCAATACATTTTCTACCCATGACCCACCCAGAAGCAATGAGTCTACCCCACAAACTACCCATCCCCAGAAGACAACGGAAGTCTTAATTAAAAAAAAAAACAAAAAACAAAAAACAAAAAAAAAAAAACATTTCATCCAGCACGGTAGGATAAATTGTTCATTTATTTATTTTACCTCAACTGTGCATCTTCTCCTGTTCAAATGGCTTCCCCATGTTTTCCACAGCAATTACCTTTGGGGGAAGTCTGCTTTGGGACAGGTAAATCATGCCGTGGGAAGACTCTTCAAATACAAGCATGAATAGTGAGACAAATGCATACAGACACTTGCCTCTGAAGAGCTAGGAGCCTGGCCACTACCAATCTTTGTACTCACTATTCTGCCTTCTGTAGCTTCTCCAAGCAGCCCTCCAAAAGTGATTACAGGAGACATACACGCACAGTATAGGAAAAGAATCGAGGCCAGGCACTGCAGGCTTAATGCATCCTTGAAGTCACTCAAGAAAAAAGGTGCTTTCCTTTTGATGTCAAGTATCAAACCACCAAAAAGCCTAAATAGGTAAGATGAAACTCGTCAAGCTGTAGACTAGAGGATTCTAGCTAGTTCAAACTAAAACTATGGGCTACATAAAACTGGAGGTGCCTATTGTTTTGTCAACAAAAATTTAAATCCAATTTAAACCATGGTATAGATTACAGAAAATATACCCCTGGATCTCATCAGTTATTGGCAAAGGAAAGATAGATCTCATTACGCTAAAGGCGATATACATATTATTTTGTGAACTACATCTTGAAAAGGCTGCAAGCAAATGATCATAGGAGTAAATGTAACTTTGAATGCAAATAGGCAAGCAAATGTACAATAAACAAAACCTAACCAGACATTCATGTAAATGTTCATATGCAATTCTATTAATTACTGGCTGTATTATAAATCTTAAATGCAATGGACAGAAATACCAAGAAGGCAATTATGCCCTACATGTCTCTTAATGTCAACGTAGTATTGCTATACTTTAATACACAAGCAGTATATCAAATATTGTAATAACTTTAACATGATTTATTTATACATTACTGCCTAGAAAAAAAATCTTAAAAACTAAGTCATTACATATTATGTAGTGTGTATACTAATTACCGTTTTAGGTTTTAGTGAGAATAAATATCTACATTTATGTTAAAATACTAAGTTATACCATTTCAAACTTTAAAAAAAAATTAAATTTTAGATACATTCAACTTGAAAATATTCCAATAAAACATAAGCTCTGTAGGAGATGGTGACTCTTGTTCAATGCCATGTCTCTAGTGAGCAGAACCCTGTCTGTGTACAGAAGGTAACAAATAAATACTGCTGAATAATTTTGATAAGTTTCATGATTCATAAAATAGGTAATCATGTGAATATTAACCACAAGAAAATAGAAAAAATTAAATTTAAGCTTTTGAAGGTTTGGATACTTCAAGCTTTACCATTCTAATTTTCAAGTTAACACTAAATAAATCCTGAAGGCATACTGACAAGTAGAAGTTATTCTATAATCGGGACAGCAAGGGGAATCAGCCTTCAATTAAAAAGATGCCAATGACAATGTAAAAAATGAATCTCCATAATCAAATCAGTAACTGACTACTTCATAGGTGGCTGAGAGAGTTTCTCAGATGATTGCAATCAATGCGATGGGCATTTCTTGGAACTTATACTAACTCTAGCTCTGAAGAACAAAGAAACAATGATAATCAAGAGACCAGCACAGTTTGCACAGGGATGAAATCTTACTCTCCGTTATATTCATCAAGACTAACACATTTCATTACTCAATAATTGTGAATTTGTTTCTCTAAAGCCTATGTATTAGTATTTTTCTTGTCAACAGTGTGTCTATCTATAATATCCTGGTTTTATAAACAAAGACTTGATTCAAGGTCCTTTAGTTCCACAATGACCACCAGTATATACTGTAGAACACCAGTAGGATATGCTTCTCTACAGTGTGAAAAATTGCTGTTATCATAAGCATTTACTACCAAATACCTCAAATACATTTTATGACATTTTACCTGGCAACATTTCTATTTTCTACTCCAAAAATGAACTTTCCAGAGACCATTGCTAGGATTTAATCAAGCTTGTCTACCTAATTTTGTAGTGTTTCAATATATAATGCTCAATTAAGTTTTTAATCTACGCACAAAAATGATTCATTGTAATTTTTCCTTCATCCCATAATTTTCTAACTTGTCAAAATCTGAAAAAAAGACTATTTTCTTTCAGAACCCTCTGAAAAAATTAATTCACATACTAAATATAAATCCAATTTTGAATATATGATCTAATTATTTTTATTTTAAAGTAAAGCTTTGTAAATACTATTGAAATTATTTTTAAATGTAAATTTTCCTTAATGTCAAACACGCTATAGAAAAATGTACATTAAAAAACACATGAAAGAACTAATGGACAAAATTAGGCTCAAAATACTTGGTGAAAAACAAAAAGGCAGTTGGTACCTTTTTCATCAAATCAATACCTAGTCTTGAAGAAACAGCATTTGTACCCACCGTCCAGTCCTCTGCAGCTCAGGCCCAGCATGATGAGCAGCTTCCTTAGGAAGTTCAGCAGATAGTGGGGCAGATCCATTGGGAAACATGGGAATTTTTCTCTTTTCCTGAATTTCACAAAAACACATTTTCAGAGTTTAATTTTAAGAAAACTGACATGCAAGCTGAGATGGTTAGAGGGAGCATTGTATCTCACGTGGACTTTTTATGAGTACTCTTGGAAAAAAGCTTCCTAATGCAAACTTCCTGCTTAAATAAACTAATTTAGAAAGGGATCTAACATCTAATTCTGTTCATATTTTAAATTTACAATGAGCTTTTTGCATCTTATATTCTAACATCAATATATAAGATATATTTATGCAGACCATTTCAAGTTTCTAGTTTGTAATAGCTATTAAAACAAATATCAAAAAAGCATATTTCTCACTAAAATATTTTAAATTGTGCTCATGTTAATTACCAAAATTTAAACTTTCATTTTTACAGATGCTACTTTCTATATACATCTCTAATGCCAGTTCTCAAGAGGCTGAGGCAGGAAAACTGTGTGTTTAGGACCTGCCTGGGCTATGTAACAAAACTGTTCAAAAGAAACAAAAAAAGAAAAGGAAGAGGAAGCAGGAGAGAATTCCTTCAATTCCCTTATACTTTTCTTTAAGTCCAATAGTACCACTTCCATGATACAGGATATTCTCCCCCATGTAAAGACAAAAGGAGCATTTCAGATGTTACCTCAAGAGAGAACTGACTAAAGGAACACTATGTACTGACAAGCACATGTACTGGAAAAGTGGGAGGGAATGGAAAAAGCAGGAGCTCCCCTAAGTCAAAGCTCTAAAGGAACTACAGACTTACAATACCTTATTTACATAGAGTGATTAGACCTATTATAATCATTTGAAAATGTCAAAACTAAAACCAACTTACAACTTACATCAAAAGGGAAAGATAAAGCTTTACACAAGCCCAAGAAAATAGGAAGAATGGTATAGACTACATATTAGTGCTATAATCTAAGGGATTCAGCTAAAATATCATTTAAAAATGAAGAACTAGCTGGGCAGAGACTAGAGTTTATAATCCTAGTTTCTGGATGCTACAGCAGGAGGATCACGGTAAGTTTAAGACTAGCCTGGCCTACATAGCAAGTTCCAGGCCAGCCAAAACTTCACAGTAAAACTTTGTCTCAAAAAGCAACAAATATTGTTAAGAAAAAAAAAATTCAGGGCTGGAGAGATGGCTCAGTGGTTAAAAACACTGGCTGTTCTAAAAGAGGACCTGGGTTCAACTCCCAGCACCCACATGGTGGCTAACAATCATCTATTACTCCATTTTCAGGGGATCCAATGCCCTTTCATGGCCTCTGTGGGCCTTGCATGTCATGTTGTACTTACATACATGGAAGCAAAATGCTCACATGCAGAAAATAAAAATAAAGTCAAAAAATTTTTTTTATCTGAAATAATTTTAAAAACAGCTGTTTGAAAAATGTAATAAATAATATTCTCATTAGCTAAACAATGTAAGATATGTTGAGGATGTAATAACTCCACAAACTGAGGAAAATGCAGATAAACCTTTCAAGAAAATTTAAAATAGGGTAAGATGGGTAATATATCAGACAAATTTAATTTAACAAAACTGGCCTCAGGAAAAAAAGCTCACATACGCCAATTTCCATAAAAGAAACAAATTGCTGAAATCCATAGTTGACAAGAGATGTAAACTCAAAAAGTTTTTATAAGAAATGTTCCAAATTTCTAAAAACAAATCATTACATACTATTTAAACCACTCAAGAAACAGACCGAAAAGAAGTTATATTTTTGTTTTTGTGACACAAGTGTAGTGATAACATAAAGATAAATTTAAAATGTACTAGCCAAGTATGGTGGTGCACACCTTTAATCCCAGCACTCTCAGGTGGCAAAAGCAGGCAGACAGATCTCTGTGAAATCGAGGCCAGCTGGGGCTAGAGGGAGACCCTGTTTCCAAAAAAACCTCTGTCTGATCGCCTTACAACTATACAAACAACAATAGCAAGCAAACTGCGAACGCTCCATGTCCAGGTAAAGAATGAAAATCAGAAGGAACACAGTTAACAACAAACAAACAGCTGCATAGGATAAGGGGTCATGGTGCAGGTACATATTCTCTCAATCTACCTCTACTGATTGATTTTTTTTCTTTCAGTATTCAAATGCAGGGCCCAGGAATGCTTACAAAGTGTTTTACCACTAAGCCACATCACTGTAAACAGGCACAATTTCTGAATCATAAAAACACATTATCTACCTATTTTCTACTGAAAGTTTTTTTAATTTAAAAAATAAACACTCAGAAGCATATCTCTAGGCCTTACCTGAGAAGGAACGCTTTTGGGTGGCTCTATGCGTATGGAAGGGTCCCACTCTCCTGGAGGCAGGACAGTTACTTGATCTAAAAATTCATCAATTCCAGATAAGAGGTCATTTCGATCTTTTGCTTTATATGCTACATCATGAAAAATCTAAAGAAAAAGGGATATGAGCATTAGGACTTTAAAGTAGAAGCAAAGTCTACCCATACTAAAACGAACTTTAGATAGCATATATACATTGGGCTGGAGAGCTGATTCAGTGGGTAAGAGCAAGTACTGCTCTTATAGGACCTAAGTTGGGTTACCAGCAGCCATGCCAGGAAGCTCACAACTGACTGTAACTCTAGTTCCAGGAGATTCAAAGCTCTCTTCTAGACTCCCTGGGTACCTGCACTTACATGCACATACCCCTCCACACACAGTTTAAAACAGCATACATAAAGTCACAAAAATTACATAAATTCTTATCTGCAACGGGCATTCACTTCACCTAGCAATGGCTAACCCGTCGTTACTATTATCAGATGAATTAACAATAACAAAAGGAAATGATGTATTAATACTAAAGAAAACTTTTTAACAGAGAACAGTAATTTATTACCAAATAATATCATAACAATAACAAAATGGCAGGGGATTCTATTACTGTTATTAAAATATTATTTATTCTGAAAGAATAATCACGATTATGCAAACCATTTTTTAATATTTATTTTTATTCTTTGTATATGAATGTTTTGCCTGCATATATGTATGTTCACCGTGTGTGTGCCTGATGCCCTTAGAGGCCAGAAAAGGGTATCAGATTCCCTGGAATTGGAACTGAGGACAGTTGGGAGCCGTCATGTAGGTGCTGGGAACTGAGCCACCTCTTCAGCTCCACATATAAAGTATTTTGTTTAATGACAAATTATTTACTGATTAACTACTATTTTCCAGGCAGAATGCTATGTGCTGCAGATAATACAACGGAAACAGGTAAGGAAGATTCCTGTGCTCAAGAACCTTTTCTGATAGCAGGACAGATAGTTATGTAATTACAAACACATATGACTGCAAAGAATGATAAATTTTCTGGGGAGAGGAAAAAAAAAACAAAGTACAGAAACAAAGGAGCAGCCAAGGAATGTTTCTGAGAAGAATGATAATCCCAGGATGTGGAAGACTGAGGCAGAAGTGCTGTGAGTTTGGGTCTAGTCTGTGCTATATAGCAAGGCTTTCTCAAAAAAAAATACGCAATACTGGAAGGGAAATAAGAGCAACATGTGGGCCAAAACCACCTGAAGGCTAAAGTGGGTAGGGTAGGTGGTAGAACAGTACTTAGACAGATTAGTAATTATAATGTCCAGAGGCAGAAACAGCATAACTCATCTAATGATCCAAAAGGAAGCTGCTATGGCCAGAGCAAAGTGAGGAGGAGTGGCCCTTATCACGGTGCCAATTTGGGAAGCATGCAAAGGCCTCTGACAACACAAAGAGTCTGAATTTGAACTTTATAAAGCAGGATGTGGTGGTTCATGCTTTCATCCCAGTACCCAGCAGGCTAAGGCAGGGTGTTTGTGGTGAGTCTGAGGCCAGCCTGGGCTACATAGCCAGTCCCAGGCATGTCTGGGTAATGCAGAGACTCCATCTCAAAAATAATAATAGGGGCTGCAGAGACAGCTCAGCAGTTAAGAGCACTGGCTGTTCACACAGAAGACCCTGGGGTCAAATCAGCACCCATATGGCAGCTAACAATCGTCCATAACTCCACTTCCAGGGCTTCCAGCGCCTTCTTATCTCCTCCCCACTGCATGACATAGGTGCACTTACATACATGCCAGGATAACATTTCATACACATGAAATTTTTAAAAAAATTAAATTTTTAAATAATCTTAAATAATAGGAAGTCATGAATACATTTTGGATCAAGATGTTAGGTTCTGATTTTCAGATGTATAGAGGGAAACCCCAAATATGAAAATCTAAAAAACCACTTGAGTTGCCACAGAAAAAGTCATTCTAAACCAAAGAAATGGCAGTATACACAGGAAAAATCTGAGTATCTAAACCAGGTCAGATTCAGATTTATGAGGTTCTGATGTCCTGGGAAGACACAGTGGAATGTCTGGCAAGCACCTGGTAGAAATCTCTCTGTCAAAGAGAAATGGAAGTCCTGATCACTGAACAGGATACAGTCAAACAAGAGGTCCCAAAACTGAGAGAGAGCTATGTAAAAACAGAGAAAGTCCCTAGAAAACCCCAAAGAAGAACATCTTGAAATCTAGGATGGATAAAACTTCAACAAAGCCAATAAATTAAAAATAAAAAGAATAACAAAAGATTAAAAATGACCTATTATTCCTGAGAAACAAGTCTTAAAGACCTCAAAGGTATGTGTTAAAGACTGAATATGAAATAAAATAGCAGAGACATCAAAAACAACTTTGTAAGCTTCACAAGAAAAAGCAAGACTATAACTACATAATCACTATCTACTTCAAAGAGATTTAAGTGTGTTTTAATTACCTCATCAGTCATGAGAGTGGCTATTGATCTGCCAATTTCATGGTATTGTGGGGCTTTCCCTGCTGGACCCAGTAACAGAAAAAGAAACCTAAGAAACAAGTAAAATAAGCAGATTTTAAAAGAAATAGCATATATATAAACATAGGAAATCAATTTTTTAATGATTAAATTATAAAAATAGAAACAACAGTCAAACTTTATTTCACAACCACCCACCAGAATCACCAATATAATGGCAACTCTATTCAAACAGATCATAACTGAGGTAGCTGAGGGCAGTAGTACAACACTTGGGAGGCAAAAACAATGAGGATCTGGAGTTCAAGGTCATCCTTTCCTCAGAGCCAGTTCCAGGCCAGCCTCAACAAAAAATAGACCATAAAACTACAATAGATGGCGACCCCACCAGATGGACTTGAACCAGTGTTCAGTCTACAAAGAGGAGGGTCAACTCAGAGGAAACATTTCCTCCATACTTCCAAGTAAAGCCAGCCAAGGTTGAGTAGGACCTTTGACTTATCTTCACATAGGCTGAACTGGTAAAAGAAAGGAGCCAGGGGCGCCTCCCAAGCCCATGTGACCCCTGAGGAACAGATCCTCCAACGACCTGAAAAGTAAAAGTAAACTGGTTTATTTGGGCCAAATATATGGTCTTAACACCCAAAAGCAAAGTGATCACTATAACCAAAGATTAAAGTGATTAGTATATTTCTTTAAGAGTTCAAGGGATTACACTTCCCAGACATTAGGCTTAAATCCATATGAAAAGTTATTTAGACAATTATTTCTCATTGATGATTTTGTTCCTAATCAGAAAGTGCTACTGAGATTTAAGACTTCAAATCTTGGTTTACAATACGGTAGTGCCCACCTGTAGCTAAGGGAGACAACCCACTACTGTTCTAAAATAATGGATAAATTTGTTTTCTCCCCCTATCTAGAAGCCTTTGAGAGGGACCTGACACTATTCTAACCACTCCAACAGTTATCAAAGTGCCTGAAAGCAAATCCTGGACCCAGCCTTGGAAGACAAAAAAAAAAATGAGGAGGAACCCAATTGAGGAATGCTCTCGTCAAGAAATTCCAATGGCCTCTCATATGAACATTTGAAATTTGCCCTGTTCTGACTTTTTTCTAGTTCTATTTTCTAGTTCTCACTTTTTACAAGTTCCTGTCTAGAACTTGTAAGGCTAATTACTCTTGCCTTTACTTCTTCTTCACATCTCCTATTCACCAGTCAAGGACATTCTTTTCCCCATAGATAAGAGTTATGCAATTTGGGAATCTTTTAGATAGACCCACTAAAGGGCTAGGTACCCCAATTGCCTCACCCTTAATCCCTGTTCAGCATGAAAGAAGCCAGAGCAGTCTGAATCCCGATTCCCTGTCCGCAAGTTGGATAACCTCTTCAGAGGATGGTGTGATAAGAACAGGAGGTAGGAATTGGCTAGGCAGTTGGGAAAAAAAGACCCTAAAAGCAGCCAGTTTTTTGGCTAAAAGTCAAAATGTCCTTGGGCCTTTTAGCAACATACTCTGTTCCAAAGGCCAAAAATATCCAAAGTATTTGGGAGCTCTTATGTAATCCTTAAAACACTTTAGGGTTACCTCTTCAGAGGGGAGAATGTTGGAGTAGCAAAAAATCCCATTAAAGAAAAAAAAAAAAAAAAAAAAAAAAAAAAAAAGAAAGAAAGAGTACATGAAGTTATCAGAAAGAAGTGATGGGGAAATATGAGAGGAGTTGGAGGGGAAGGAGTCGGCATGGATTTGATCTATATGCATGTATGAAATTCTCAATAAATTATTTAAAAAAAAACAATAGGTATTCACAGTTAACTTTCTACCAACTTAGTCCTTTCATAGTTTCCATAGGGTGAAACAGTTACTAAAGTTTTCCCATAAAAAATTCCATCTTTTATGACCTTCTCTAGTAAACAACCAACTCTAATCTGAATTGAAAAAGATAAACTAGTAACAATCCTATTAGTATCTCACTAAGTAGCCCAGGCCAGCCTCAAGTTCCGAACTCAATCTCTTGAATGCTGGTCTCCCAGACATGTGTCACCACACCCTGCTTCCACTTATTCCTCAAAAATAAGGTCTGCCAAATCAAATAGTTAAAGAGTACACACAGAAAAATATGCAATGCCTGAAACTACCATTCTAGAGAAAAGCTGTAACACTGTAAATATGGTATTAGTCAAGCAATCTTTCTGGGAGGAAAAAAATTCTATTTATAACTCCAACTTCAACATCAAACCTGCTTTATTCTGGTGTTAAATAACAAGTAGTTACTTGTATCCTTGTTAACATTACAGCAAAATATTAGTGTTTTCTTAAATTCTTAGGTCAGCATACAAAGTAATGGGTTTTATCATGGTATCTTCATACATATGTAAAATACTAATATTCTTATCAAAATATTTATCCTCCTGCTTTATGGAAATTTACATATGAAGCAACTGAATCATTTCTTCCTTACTTCTTAACACTGTATCAGTGTGAAAACTGAGTAAAACAAATTAAAAATAAGAATACTTCCATAAAATTATTACTCTTCATATTTTAATCATGCCAGTCCTGAGAGTGGCTATCAATATGCCAACTGCATGATACTGTGGGGCCTTCCCTGCTGGAGAAACCACAAGGCATGGCAGCAGATGCCTTTACAGCTTATTACTCAGGAGATTGAGGCAGAAGGATTGCCAAGAGTAGGAGGTCCACCTGGGCCACATAACGAGATACCATCTCAAAAAACCAAAAACTTCAAACAAAAAATACAATAAGGAAAGCTACTTCCAAAATAAGTCTCATTCACAGATTTAAACTTTTAATGCTAACAAACTGCAGAGCTGTCCATTTTATGTCTCATGAGCTGATTATAACACAATTTGCTGATTATTCTTACATATTAATCCAGTTTAATTTTTATTTACAATATAAATGAACAGAAACTTTCCATCAGGCCAGACCAAAGTATTTTGCATAATTTGAAGAAATGATGACATTTAATAACCTTATGAGGTATCTTCCTTTTATGAGTGAGATAGAAAACTGAAGTCCAAGTTGACCATAGGTCTTCATAAGGTAACTGGCAGAGAAAGAGGATCCAGCCCATTCTCTCTGGCTCCCATGCTTACACGGAACATTAAGAGTATGTCTAAAGTCAGGTATGGTGGTAGATGCCTCTAATCCCAGCATTCGGGAAGCTGAAGCTAGAGGATCAAGAGCTCAAAGACAGTCTTGGCGACATGAGTTTATGTATCTGTGAGTTAAAGAGAGAGAGTGAGACAGAGATACAGACTGACAGAATGTATGTCTAAGATGATAAACCATAGCTGGGAACATAACTCAGGACAGAGTAGGTGCCGAACATGTGAAAGCTGCTTGCTCAATCTCCAGCACAAAAATAAACCAAAATGGCTGGCTTTTCTAAAACAAAAGCTCCTAAGACACCAAATGTCTTATAAAAGACATTTGAAGACTAATTTTAAATTTTTTAATTTTTGTTTATGTGTATGAGTGAATTGCTGCATGTATACAGATGTACCCGTGTTATGCAATGCTTGCAAAGGTCAGAAGATGTCGGATCCACTGGAACTGGAGTTGGGATGATTGTTAGCCAACATGTGGGTGCTGGGAATCAAACCCAGGTCCTCAGCAAGAGCAGCCAATGTTCTTACCGCTGAGCCGTCTCTCCAGTCCCATGAAGACTTATTTTAAAACAATGATATTACTATAGCTGGGTATGGTGGCTTATACCTATAATCCCAGCACTTAGGATGCTAAAGTAGAAGGATTATGTAGGGTCAGAGGCTAGCCTGGGCTACATAGTAAGTTTCAGATCAGCTACAGAATGAGATTGCCTCAAATGGTAAACAAGAAAGAAAAAGAAAATGAAAAAATATTATATGTGTGTATATGAAATGAAATTCATATTTTATTTTTCAGTTTCAGGGAGAAGAAAGTTAACTTATATTCTAATATTCAAAGCATTGTGGTACAACAATTGAGCATCAGTAATTAGTAATAAAAGAGTGCTTCCATTACACAAAGCAAGAGTCTTGCTTTTCAGTGGACCCATACAATGGAATATGAAATACACCTAGCTTTTACCTAGTGGGCACAGGGACCTCAGTCAGCCCAGAGAGGAGCACTGCAGGGGCCAGCCTCACAAATGCAATGATAGGCCTCTCCAGAAAGTCCACTTCTCCCACCAGAACATTGGATGCCTCTGCTCCTGTAGGAATTTTCCTCATGAAATTCATGTCAACCTATTAATAAATCATTTAGAAACATGATTACTTGTAGAGAAATCTATGAAAGAATAATTTTAAGATAATTACTGCCAACCAAAACTTGTGATCTAAAAGATGTACAAATGCCCAAATTCTCACAGATACAAAGAATGGAGTAGTCAAATACAAAAATGCAAGCAGAATTCATTCATCAATACTATTTTATGTATCACAACCTTTATTACTTCAGAGATCTACATTATCAAACAGACACTTGAGAAAATTTTCAATGAATATAGACTATTCATTAAAAACCACGAGGACATACGGTGCACAAACTAAAGATGGCTCATGAAATTATACACAGTATGACAACATATTCATTTCATGATTTTTCTACTATTCAGTCTTATATATGAATTGATCTCTTTATGTTTTATGTATTTTTATGTATCTTCCATTAAAAAAAACAACTATCATTTCTTAGGATTTTCCTTAAATGGAAAAACTTTTTTACAACTAAAATCTATAGCTTTGATTAGTTCAGATATATGGCAACAGCTAAGTGAAATTCAGCTGCCTGTGTATAATTACAAGGAAAAGCTTACAAACATATGACACCAAAGTAGGTGAAACTCTCCATCTATACACAGGTTCACACAAGTCACTAAACAATCACTAACAAGACTATCTATTAAAAATAAAATCAGCACTTACAGCAGGCCTCTTGAGTCCCACACCCAGTGTGCCACAACTACAGTGCCAGGAGGCAGACTCCTGCCCAACAAGAGACAGGGAGGGTACACAAGGATAGGCCAAGTAAAAAAATAAAACTGTGACAGAGGAACAAAGATCAATGGCAACTGCCATGCCTAGAGAAGATCTATAATGCAAATTACAGTCATTTATTGATTTATAACAAAGAATAAATCCATTTCAGCTAGAAACACTTCACTGATCTGAAACAGAGCATCAATGAAAACAAGTTATGTTAGAGTTATCAAACTGTATCAGACTTTTGTTCAGTTGTTAAAAAAAAAAAAAAAAGACAAGGTTTTGAAACTCAGTTCAAGGTAACCCAGGCTAGTCAGGAACTTGTGAACCTCTTGCCTCAGTTTTCTGATTACTGGGATTACAGGCCTGTGCCAAGTTCAGGTGAACAGCCTTTCTAATAGTCAAAGTCCCTAACAGCAAGGCTTCCTGCAGTTTTAGGGTATGAAGTTCAGCAAAGCTGCAATACAAATCATTTCAACTTCCTTTACATAAAGTGTGAGTTTTTTTCAACACCATGAACAAAATAAAAAGTTTTAAAAATTGAATCTTGTTTGGCATGTAATACAAAGTCTTACATCAGATGTTAAAAAATGTAAAAAAAAATAATAATAATACCATCAGTTAACTGATAATCAGCAAATTAAGTTACACTAGTCACCCCAACCATTATTAATTTTTCCTAAGTACTCATAAAGTACACTTGAAACTTGACTGTCATTTGAGTTTAATTTTTTGTTGTTCTTGTTCTTAGAAATAAAGTTTTATTTTCTCATTTTCAATGAACTCATCTAACAAAAGTAAAAATGGGAATTTTTGTTTTTTTAAAATATAAATGTGTGTATGTGTGTGTGTATACACACACACATATATTTTATGTGTGTAAGCATACTGCCTGCATGTGTGTATGTGCACGCATGTTGTGCAATGCCTACAGAGGTCAAAAGAGGATGTTAGATTCCCCTGGATCTGGAGTTACAGACGGTTTACCCACCATGGGGTGCTGGGACTTGAACCCAGGTCTTCTGCAAGAGTAGCTGGGTGCTCTTAACCCCAAGCCAATACTCCAGGTCCTTTTTTTGTTCTTTTTAAGACAGGACCTCCCTGTATGTAGTCCCAGCAGGCCTGGAACTTGCTATGTAGACCAGGCTAGCCTTGATCTCAAAGCTCTTGGAAAATGAATGATTTGAAATGGACATTGTAGAATTTTTGAAGCTAACACTGAGGGAATATGGGGCCACAGCATTGGCTGATGTCTTTCAGAATGGAAGAAGTGTGCTAGAACTCAGCTCTTGGCAGCCAGTGTGTATGGCCAGAGCAGACAGCCTTGTGCCTGTATCCAGCCAGTGCCACCCTTGCAATTTGTATTTCTAAGGCTATGGGACAGACTTCACTTTGGAGAAAAGGATTGAGACAGTTCCTCAGGTCTGTGTTAGCCCACGATACATGCCAGATCCTGTGGGACCACAGTTAGGGAGTCAGTTTGTTTTTTTCCCCTGTTGTTTGTGTGTGTATGTGTGTACGCGCATGCCCTCACACTTGTCTGTGCGTAGGACGTCTTTGGTCACTGTGACTGCTCAGGGAAAATCGATAGAGGACTAGGGGACTGAAGTAAAAGAGACTTTCTGTTCAAGCTTATTACTTTTGTTTTGTTTTGTTTTGTTTTTTTGAGGCAGGGTCTCCCTGTAGCCCCGGCTGGCCTGGATTCACTATGGAGACCAGGCTGGCCTCAAACTCACAGAGATCTGCCTGCCTCTGCCTCCCAAGTGCGGGGATTAAAGGCATGCACCACCACACCTGGCTAAGGTATATATTTTTTTTAATCCATGCCTGCCTTTTTCCACAGAGAATATACTTCCCAGTGGCATTCCAGAAACTCCTAACACAAATCAGACAATAATTCTGGGATGGGTTATAGCCTAAGAAGGCAGCTCAAGAGTAATTCAAGTTTCATAAAACCTACATGTGGGTATAGACAGAAATGCCATTTTGTTATGTATACTTTCTTCAGAAATACTGAAACTATAAGCATGCAATTATTTAAATACTTGGAACCTTTCCCACAAATTTTGACAACACATCACGGGCATTCCATACAGGTGTATAAGCACCAGTCTACTGAACAATTACTGTAAGCAATGGCAATAGAGCCATAAATCACTAGTAATTTTCTCAGTAAGAACGATTATGAAAATTCGCACTTAGTGACAGAATTACCTTGCTAAAATCAACAGTACTATTTTCTCTGCTTCCTCCACTTCCGTTACCTTTCATTTCTCCACTTTTACTGTTGTCCAGATTTCCAGGAGCAGACTGTGGAGAAGCCAAAATTCCTGTAAAAAACACACAATTCCAAATTAGTAAGGAGAACATTCACTTTTTAGCCTGAAATGATCATATCCTGAAAGTGATGGTTTATATAAAAGCAAATGTGCAAGGTTAAAGAAGTGCCAGGTTAGTTTCAAACCAGCAACAGAAATTAGAATAACACTGTGAGCAGGATGAAGCTGTATATTTTAATATTTAAAGCATCATACTAGAAATTATGGTAGCCTTTTGAAAGAGTCAACATAGGACCACAATAAATCTGAATTAAGATTGGAATCTTACCATGACAAATCCTAGGGAACACATTTTCAATATTTCTAACCCACATATGAATTGATGGAAACTAGAGACTAAGACATCACTACACTTAAGATTCTTACATCAATACAAATATGCATTCTCTAATAAATTCTATGTGTAAAGCAGAACATTTAAAAGCTACATTTAATTACCCTTAATTATGTTTCCTTAAGAACTTTATCTTCAGTAGTACTTATATCTAATTTCTGTCACTCTTCCTAAGAAATGTAACTAAAATACCACAAATAAGTTTTCTAAGTGCAAAGATTAAAAGAACATAAGCAAAGAGATTTGTGCTAAAATATACTGTCACTTGTAGTCATGTGATAAGAAATTCACTCAACCTCTTTGATTTATGCTAGCCTATAAAATTAGTATGTAAATAACATGGTTATTTCCATCTATACCTACCCACAGCTATCTTGATTACTGTTTGGATTACATTTGAGATATGCTCAAATGTTAGTATATTCACTTCAGGTGACACTCAACAGCAACATTTCATGACAATAAAATAGCCTAGAAACATCAGTTAGTTTAATCTATGTTTACCACTATGAGTCAGAGCTCAAATTTCAAAAATTTAAAAATCAAATGGCATTACACAGATTTCTACCATTAAATGTATCTCATTTTTCTCAAAATATTAAAGAATTTCTAGACCAGGAATATAAACTAATTAATGTTGAAAACACTGAACACCTTGAGAGGAAATGTGACTGTAATATAATACAGTCTACCATTACATAGAAATTCAGTTAACACTTGTTTTGTGGTTTAATCTTATAAATCTCTGAAGTCAGTATTGGTCATTGGGCTCCAGAATTTCAAGCATATCCAATGTACTTGATACATCAAAAAAGGTTTTATTCTTAAAGTATATCTAATGAATATGATAACAGTCCTCTGTGATACTCACTTCTCTATCACTGTGACTGTAAAGTCTCATACAAAAGCATTGTACTTGATTTACCACGTACGTGAATCTCTGAAAAAGTTAAACAGTTCTAAAATAACTATTTCCTTAAACTACTAACTTTTTATAATGATGGCTTAACATGGAAAAGTTATTAAGATTCCTCACCTTCGACCTTTGTCCCTAAACTTCCAAAGCTGTGTCCCTTTCCTTCCCCAAGAGAGCTGGGGGAATTAGTATTTTTCAGTGGCTTCAAGCTACCTTCACACAAGAAAATAAAAGAGTACTAGTAAAACTCTGGTGGCAACTACAAATGAGTACTAGTTATTACTGACTGTTAAAATGTACTCAGTCTCTGGATTATCAAACAAACACATCATGCAGTTTCCAAAATAACCTAGCCACCAGATTTGAGAGACAAGACTGCAATAGGGAAGCTTGTGGGGAGAAAGCAAAGTATGGTGGGAATGGGAAGAAGCAATATAAAGCTCCAGGATGACAAGGGCAGAAGGGACAAGAAAGTTCGTGGCTAAGCTGGTCTTCTTTAACCTGTCCCTTTTCCCAAACGGCAGGTACATGTTAAGAGTGTTCCATCAGCCAGGCATGGTGGCACTCACCTGTAGTTCTAACATTTGGAAGATAGAGACAGGAAGATCAGAAGCTCAAGCCAGCCTCAGCTACTTGAGACCCTGCCTCAAAAAGAGAAGAAGTATTCTACCATTATCCTTTCAGAGTAATCTTTCAAAACCTCAGCTAGGTTAAATCTGTTTCCTTAATTAGTTAAGTCTCCCAGCTACTACAATCAATTCATAGTGCTCAGAATCAAGTCAGTCAGCAGAAAATGGAAGTGTTCCTCTACATCACAGTTAACTTGCCAGAAATATATATGTGTATATATATGCATGTTTTTAAAAACAAAAAATAGGGCTGGAGAGATGGCCCAGTGGTTAAGAGCATATAGTGCTCTTGCAGAGGATCTGTGTTTACTTCCCAACACTCATCTTGGACAGCTAACAACTGCCTGTAACTTCAGCTTCAAGAGCAACTGATGCCCCTGGCCTCTGTGGGAACCTGCACTGATGTGCACATACCCACAGAGACACATACGTATAGTTTTTTAAATATATATTTTAAAAAGCAAAAGATAAATCCAAATATGTATACAAATAAAATCAATAAGGGGACTTAAGCCAGGCATAATGGCCCACACCTTTAATCCTAGTACCTGGGTGTCAGAGATAGGAGGATCTCTATGAGCTCCAGGCCAGCTGGTCTACATAGTGAGTTCCAGGTCAGCCAAAGCTGCACAGTGAGACCCTGTCTCAAAAAACAAACAAACTTTAAAACATACTCTGAAGGCATGGTGATATGTACCTATAATCCCAACATCACAAGTTGCAGGTTAGTGTGCATGGTGGCACACTAGAGGAAGGCAAATCAAAAATACAGTTTTCTGTCACCAAAAGATAGAAAGTTAAAATGGAGAGTGGCTCTGAACCTGGAAAGATGTGTCCCGCAAGGGGTAGACTTCAAAGATACTATTCCATATCTACCAAAGAAAGCACAGAACTGGCTCCTCCCTATATTCCAGGCAACAAAGAATTATCTAGCTTAATGTTCACAATACTGAGCCTTCTCAAGAAACACCAACTTTGAAAAAAGTTACAAATACTAGAAATAACTATTACAAATAACTATTCTCCAAATAACAAGCAGCACTGCTTCCTCTGTGAGGATGCCTTTACAGGTATCTCCCTGATACACGGCTCTACAGTGGCCTCTCTTCAAAGGACACTGAAGCCACTTCCTGCCTCTAGGTAAGAATCAATCTCCTCGAGGTAAGGTCTGTCCCCAGGGAGTCCTGCAAGACAATCTACGTATTCTGAATAAGACAGTCACAAAGGAGATGATGCCAGCTGCTTCCATGAATTTCCTTAGCAATCATGAGCTTTAACTTGTCATTAGAAAATCATTCATTTTAATTTCTTCTATTCAGGAGAGCTGATAAATCTCATAAAATTAATGAGTTTAAAAAAAGATTTATACCTCAATTGGCAAAAGCCTTCACTGCCTTAGAAACAAGCTTTCTCTAAAAAAAAAAAAAAATTATTATACTGCATATGTCTAAGTGCACCCATGTCATGCAATGCCCAGGATGTCAGATGAGAGTGCTGGATTCCCCTGGAACTGGGGTAATGGATGGCTGTTAGCCACCATGTAGGTGCTGGGAATTGAACCTGGGTCCTCTGCAAGAGCAGTCAGTGCTCTTAACTGCTGAGTCATCTTTCTAGCCCCACAAGTTTTCTTTTCTTAAAAAAAGATTTTATTTTTAATTACGTGTGTGTGTGTGTGTGTGTGTGTGTGTGTGTGTGTGTACATGAGTAGCCCAGAGGCCAGAAGAGGGTGCTGGATCCCCGAGAACTGAAGTTACAGGTGAATGTTATAGCCACCTGACAGTGGTGCTAGGAAGCAAACTCTGGTCCTCTGTAGGAACAATACTTGCTCTTAACCTCTGAGTCATCTCTCCAGCCCCCCAAATAAGTTTTCTAATTCATATACAAAAATTATACCCTCATCATGAGTCTATAGGGCTTCTGGTTCTGAAAAACATCACAGAAAATTTGGACTAACAGACACAGTATTAAATAAATGACGACTAAAGACTATTCTAAACACAACACTCCTCTTGAAATAACAACCCTAGGCAATGGTCAAAGAATTTCAATCTTCTCAGAGACAGAATGAGAAAAATTATTATGGCATCATATTTTTATTAGGAAAATTTTAATATACTACATTCTTCAGAAAAGCATCAAACAGATAAAAGGCATATCACCTCACTACCTTTAGGTATATGTGTTCCTTCATCTTACCAGTATATTAAGAGTCATGTCAAATTTAAAAAAAATGTTTCCTGAACTACCCAAATATCTTAACCTCTAAAATCTCAGTTAAAAAAAAACTTTCAAAGGGCCAGACTCAGGAATAGTCTTCCTTGTAGTCCTTTTATAACCTAAATTTTTAATAATTTTACTCTTTTCTGCAATCACCATAAAGAAAAAACATGCAGATGTCAAATTAAATTGTAAGCATTATCTGCAATATGCTGCTCAAGCTATGTGCTGACAAGCATTCACAGTGCAAGTGACCCAGAGGCAGAAAGCACCACACGTGGAGGACTCTGGACAGTTGCCTGGAGTGAAGTCAGTGTTTTCCTCGTTCTTCTGCTCTTGGCTTTTCAGTGCGTCTAGATCTTCCTCAGGCGGATGAATTACTACTCTGGGAATATCATCCCTGGTAGGTGACACGAGTAGTTCTGGGGCCTGAGGCCGACTCTGTTGGAAACTTCTGGAGGCCAGCCGACTGAAGCTAGGACTGGAAGGAGGACTGTTCTGGGGGGTGGGTACTGGGGTTGTACACCTTGAGCCTGTAGGGGTTCCAGCTCTTGAAGAAGGAAGAAGATGACTGAGAAGAAGAGACAAAGGCGATTCCCCACGCAAGGAAAGGTTTGAGGCAGACAGACCTGTTCGCAAAGAATGGCGGGAGGCTGATAGGCCTTCCCCTGAGATAAAACAAATGAAAAATGTTTGTTCATCATAAAAGATAAACAGAAAACACAAAAACTTTTAAATTATAAGATTCAAATCCATTCTGTGAGGGTTAGCAAGTCAGAGTCTTCAATGTTATGTTACTGAACATTATTTTTAACTTAATTAGTTCCCTGAACTGATTGTGTATTAAAAAAATTATATATATTATATAATATATATTATATATATATATATCAAAAGGAGGGAGAGAATATTGTTAGAAATTAGAATAACTAATGCTGTGGCATTCTTTTCAAAAGGGCAAAATCAACATAAAGTTAGTTCTTAATGGCAGGTAAGAATACAAAAAAATCTAAAAAACAGAACTCAAAAATCAAAATTTACCAACAGCTCATATTTCATGCATTTTCCTACATCGCTCCAAACATCTACAGATATTTATGTCACAAGAAAATTCCACATTAACATTACCTAATAATTTCTAACTTAAAATTGGCATTAAACATTTGTAACAGGGGCTGGGCAGTGCTCTCAACTAAAGTTAAAAATGCAGAAAAAAAAATAGGAATTATTTTTTAAGAAGAGAATTATAACATCAATTTTAAAGGGCACATAGCACCAAACTCTAATGATATTTATTAATCAATGTCCCAAAGTATATTTCTTACTTCTACCACAGTAGATTCATTTAACCAAGTACATACAATCTTTGAATTAACTAGGCAAAAAATAAAGTACTTTACTAACAGCAATAAACCTAGAATATTTCAAAAGTATAGGCATACTTGGCTGGACGTGGTAATGTATGCCTTTAATTTCAGCACTTGGGAAGCAGAGGCAGGTGATCTCAGTAAGACTGAGACCAGCCTGGTCTACATAGTCAGTTCAGCTGGGCCAACAATGAGATAGGGAGGGAAGGGAGAGAGGGGGAGGAAACAGGGAAGAAGGGGAGGAGGGGGAGAGGGAGGAAGGACATTTAACATTCTTTCTCCTGGTAAAAGATATCTAACAATCTCTTGTGGCCCGAGTAATCAAAACTACAAGATCCACAGATTCAGAAATACTATTTAAAGATTGTAACAAAACCCACTCTTTTGTATGGTAACTAAAATAAACAAATGATTGTTAATCCAAAAACAATCAGCATATAGTTTTAAAATGCTACATGCAGAAAAAAAACTGTATTATAACAACAAAATAACATGATAAAATTGCATTCAGAAGAATACTGACATTGTCTTACGAAGAAAAGGAATCAAGCTACAATGGGAGAATACAGAGAAAACTGCATATTGGTAAAGTTTAATTTTGGGGTGGATGAATGCACTTCACCACAGTGGAGAATATAGAATAAACAAAAAAAGGGGAATTGGGCTTTTAAATTCAACCTAGGTCCATGAAAGTATTTAATCTGTAAGGTCCCTTAAATATACCAAGCCATAATTTTAAACAGATTAAAAGACTTCTTAATAATCAAATGATCAAATTATCTTACACTGACTTCAAACAGCAACTACTGTTACTTTCTGATACACTAGACCCTAACCTACCTATGGCTATTGGCTCAGATACCACTTAAAAGCTGTAATATTATTTCAGAGACCAAAAGGAGCAGAAAGATACTGTGTCCTATACCCCACTCTTCCTCATTGCAACCCTAAACTGCTGGTAAACAGCAGTCAGAGGGAATAATGACCTTCTGTACCTGAGTTTTCCAAGTGCAGTCATTATAGTTCTGTTTTAAGAGCCAAATGAGAACCCCAGTGATGTAGTCCTGCTTTAAACAGAAGAAGAGGCAAATATGTTCCATGTACAGCAACTCAAAGAAACTAACAGTTAAACGGCTATAAAAAGCCACTGTCTCCCCAGGTCCCTTATAACCCGCCACCATCACCACCCTCTGACGGGAAGGGGTTTCCTCAGTGACCTGAGAGACAGCAACTGGACTGCCTTTAGTATAAGATCGCTCTGTCATGAAGACCTTCTACAAAGTGTACAAAGAATAGTGAAATCAGAAATATAGCATATTCAGGAGACCAAAAAAAGAAAAAAAAAAAACTCATCAGGAAAAAATCTAATAGCATAAAGTTCAAACTCAAAATTTAGAATTAAAAATATTAAAATTACAGATCAAACTCTATGCCTCTTTATAATCACTTGAGCACAAAACCTTAAACCGAAACAAAAAAGCAGAAATGATTTCAGGTGAGGAATACTAATTGTATTTAAATTTTATTTCAAGGAAATTTGTGCCATTTTAGTTAACAGTGAATACCTTTTTGTCATCCAAGTGATTTCTACCCTATGCTAGTCATGTTGGTGTAGTCCTACAATCCTAGCACTTGGAAGGATGAGGAAGAAAGATCCAAGATCAAGGCCAGGGTTAGCTACACAGGGAGTCTCAGCCTGGGCTACATGAAACTGTCTCAAAGAAATAGAAACAAACAACTGAAAAAGAAAAACATTTTAGAAATGACATTTTTAGAGTCAAGGAAGACCGTAACTGTGTGGAAATATCTTTCTTGCAACATTACTAGTTATCACATACTGGAATACCATTAGGGAAACGTTAGCAGAAATTAGATGCCACAACTCATCTCACCATTCCTTTCAAGCAAGTGAGGGTCAGAATGTTTCTTGCCTATATCTGCAAAAGATCGAACCAGGGGAATCCGACTGGTGAATTTTTTCTCATTCTGATGATGATGTCTCTTCAGGAGAGCTTCTCTGACATTCTCTCTTATAGAGTCATCTAACTGGCCAGAAGCTATCATGGTATCTAATACCATATCTATTAAAGGGAAAAAAATTAAGTTATTGTTACTACAGAATAGTAAACACTATTATACATGCATAAAGATAAACATGAACATTACCTATCCAAAAAAAAAAAAAAGAATTAAGAGCGTAAATAAATTATTCCATTTTACTAAATGCTATTTCATAAAAGAGGCTGCTGATTACCTTATTTTAGTTAAGGGCTTTCCTCTTTATAGAAGTGGTAAACTCTAGTAAAAGAATGGTAGTAAATTCTATTTAGCTAAATATCCAACAGCATGGGCTTTCTAAACTATAATACTATTTTGTTGGCTCACCTCCTATTTCCTTCAGAAACTATTCTAACAGATGAACAGTTGTCATCATCTACCCAGTCATCACCTATTCCCCAAGTGCCTGTGCTATGCTAGGACCACAGCAGTGGCAGCTCTTCTTCTGTCACAGGTACAAATCCAATGAAGCAGACAAAATACAACAGTCAATTCTAGGTAAAGGAATAAAAGGGACATGGAAATGAAGAGACTTAGTGCCATTCTATATATTACTGTGGTCAGTGCACTATTTCCAACACATAACATACAGAGGTTTTCAACAATGTCACTGAGAAGAGTTTGGCTGGCTGGTTGGTCTTCTTTGTTATTGCTTTTGTTAGTGCTGCTTTGTTCGCTTGTTTTGTTGTTGTTTTCTTGGTGGGCAGTGATGATGATTTTTTTTTGGTTAGGAATTGGACAGGGTCTTATACATGCTTGACACACATTCTATCACTGAGCTATATCCTCAGGCTTCTATATTTAACTCCCTTCCTCCCCAACATCTTAAAATACTACTTAAGACATGTATATCTTCCTGTGGAATGATTTTTTTTTTTGTAATCACTTTGAACTTTATTTTACAGCAGTTTTCTTCAGATAACATGTAATTTACTGCAATCAGGACTCATTACAAATGTAATACTTGGCCCTTTGAGCCCATTCAAACCCTTTAAGTACTAAAATTTAACATCATGATCTGATTAACATAAGAAAGTGTTGATGACTTTCTTTTATGTACTTCTCTGGATCTTTCTGTTCTGCCTCCTCCAGAGTACCATGTTTTCTCTTACACTACTGGCTTCTTATGCCAAGTGCTCAAATTCTAAGAATAAGTTGTATAATTAATGTTCTCAGTGGACTTTCACACACACACACACACACACACACACACACACACACACAAAATTAAATTAAATTAAAAAAACAAAACACTTTCCTCTGAATTTTCAGAGGCCAGAGTCAGACTACATATATACTTATAGAAGTAGTTAGACTTCTAATTTAACCTGTTTGTCTCTATACTTACCTACAATGTCCCTGGAAATACTAGAAGTTCAGCATACAGTTGTAAATGAATGTTTTAAAATAACACTTTATTTTCTTTTGAATTATATCTAATCTTAGTACACCTTATACATAAAATCAGTTTACTATAACCTGCTATTTCATCTAGAGTGCTTGCTCTCATATCCAGCATGACAGTTCCATTTAAGATGCAACTCCTTAGTTCAAAGAGACTGTGCAGAGAGAGAGTTGCTACATAGGGTTTACTCCATCGGTCACCACCATCTTCAACATCCTCTTCAAATTTCAGCCACCTAAATGAATAATACAGAAAAATATTTTACAAATAATGACTATTCCATTTATTTTAATGCCATAAACATAAAATTGACTTTAAGAGCAACAAGTACTTTTACTGCTGAGTCACCACCCCAGTTCCTAATCTTAAAAACCTTTAAGATTTTGACTTTTCAAATTTGTTTAATTAAAAACATCTGAAAGTCAACAATAGTTCCTTTTGTATCATATGAGAATTAGAGAATTTAGTCACTGACAAGGAAATCTCAAAGTACCAGCAAAGTTCAGTCTTGTAACTCATTCCTCACTAGGCAGAAGCAGGTAAGTTTGATGCCAGCTTTGAGCTCCTGGCTACCCAGGCCTATATGATGAAACCCTTATCTTCCTGAATGGAAGGGGTGGGGGGAGGGAGAAAGAGGGAGAGGGAGAGGACACACCAGCAGTTTCTCATAATTTCAATTCAATATTCTCATTACTAAAAGAAACCCAAGTAAATTCAACTCAAAAATTCAGATTGAGCAGTATTACCTGGCAGTTTCCTTCCATTCATATTCTTCGCCATCTTTGTAACAGAGCTCATCCATTTCTGTGAAAAGGTCATGGGGAATATGCTCCTCATCGTCATCTTCAGTGCCAAGGATAAACTGAACCCTCTGTGACGGTGTGTCTTAACAAAATAAAATTAAATAAAACTTGGAGTTCTCAATTTATTAAAAAATAAGTTTGAAAGCAAAACACTTTAGTTATACAGAAAATATTACAATGGGATGTGGTGGCTCATATGTGCACTTCTAGTTCTCAGAAGGCTGAGGTAAGAGGATCAAAGTCACTGCAAGAAACATACTTGTCTCGAAATATACTCATCTCATGACATCTAAAACTAAATTACACATGTGGCACAGCATTCCCTAAAACAAAAATTAGAATGAAAACTAGCCCATAACAGTGGAAACCCTTACGGCCCATAAGGTTGTGAACATCTGTCTGTAACTGTAGTTCCAGGGGATCCAATGCCGTCGTCTGTATGGGAATTACATGACACAGGTACACTTATACACATGAAGGCAACATACACACACAAAATTTTAAAAAAAAATTTTTGTTTAAAAAGTCTTGTTACATTGTGGAGAGGGGTACCCATGATTTGAGTTTTGAGCCACCTGACATGAGTGCTGGGAACAGAGCCAAGGTCCTATACAAGAACAGCAAGCACTCTTAACCACTGAGTCATCTCACCAGCCTGATTTTTATCTTGTTCATTTCTGCATTTTGTTCCTTTTCCTCCAGTTTATCTTTTCCCTTGTCTCTTAAGATGATTAATCACTGATCAGCATTCCCTTTTCTAATACATAAGGATCAAATGGCCTAAGTTTTCCTCTAAGCACTGTATTACTTGCACCTGACAATTTCTGGTACAAATAGTCCTCACTTCACAGGACTCTACACTAAATGAAACTTGTGCTTATTACAGTCATACCTTCAGTTACAAAACTCTATCTCTGATGCCTGTACTATGCTTTCAGTTTCTGAGACGCTAAAAACACTTCATTGCTCTTGGGTTGCTTCTTTAACCCCGACTCCTCAGAGTAGATCAGGTTCCTCCCTGTGGTAAAGACTGGAAACAACTTCTGGGCAATCAACTCAAACAAGCACTGGATCACTTGCCTTTCTCTTCTCTTTACAGACATCACAGTCTGTGCTGTCTAGGTGAAATTGTTGTTTTATATATTTTATACAATTTTTCTACCTGTTTAAAATTGGAGAGCCATTTTAAAGCTTAGATCTAAGATGAATAAATTCCAGAATGCTATTGTACAAAATGATGACTAGAGTTAATAACAATACATTGCTTACTTGCAACTGGCTGAGAGAGTAAATACAACCTAAGTCTTTTCACCATACATACAACAGAACTATATGATTACCATATTGGTAATCCTTTCAACACACACATACATGCACGCACGCACGCACGCACGCACCCCACACTGGTAGACTAAATATGCACAACTGTTGACAGCACTGGAGTTGCACACATATGGCCACTATGCCCACCTTTTATGTGGGTGCTGGAGATCAAACTCAAAGCTCAGGCTCTTATGCCTGAGCATCCATTTCCATAGCCTATAAATATGTGTAACTGTTATTCATCAGTTATACCTAAATTAAGCTGGGAGGGGGAAGGAACTAGTGGAAAAGTAACAACAAAAAAACGTAAAGCTTAAATGGAAGGAGAAAGTCAATCCCTGATTCAATCCTGTCTTGAAGCAAAAGTTCTGTGTAATCTCTTTTTAGAATAGAAAAAGGAGAGCCAGATGTGGTACTGCCTACCTATAATCCCACTACTCAGGAAGTGGAAACAAGCTATGGAGATCCTGCTGAAACACACACAGACACAGACACAGACACACACACACACACACACACACACACACACACACACAAAACATGGATGTAAGGAAAGGAGAGCTTTGTTGGTGGGAATATAAACTAGCACAGCCACTTTGAAAATCAGTCAGGAGGTTTCTCAAAAAACTAACAGTAAAACAACTACACGACCCAGCCATACTACTCCTGGGCATACACCCAAAGGACTCTGTATCCTACTACAGAGATACTTGTCCATCCATGTTCATTGCTATCCAATTCATAATAGCTAGGAAATCTAAATCAACCTAGATACCCATCAACTGATAAATAGGTAAGAAAATGTGGTACATATACATGATGGAATATTACACAGCAATAAAGGAAAATGAAATCATGAAATTTGCAGGTAAAGGGGTAGAACTGGAGATTATACTATATGAGATTACTGAGGTCACCAAGGCTGAGAAAGACAAAATGCCACAATTTTTCTCTCACATAAAAATCCTAACTTCAAATCTTTTTATTTTATATGTTTAACTTCGAGTACATATGGGAGCCAAGAAACTAAAAACAGGCCACTGGAGGTGCAGGTGAATTAAAGGAGAGGGGAGAGTAGAATACAGGCAAAGTGAGAGTATAGAGGGGCAACACTGAGTGGTAGAAAGGTTCAAGTAAGGAGTAGAATGGGGATGGGGAACCAAGGGAACAGGGGAAGGGTTAACCAAAATGGAAAGTATATGAGAAAGGTATATGGAAACCTATGATCTTGTAAGCTGTGATGGTTTGAATAAAAATATTCCCCCAAGGCTCCAAGTTGGCCCCAGTTCGTGGCACTGTTGGTGCAAATTTAGGAGGTATGGCCTTGCTGGAGGAAGCACATCGTTGGAGGAAGACACTGAGAATTCACAGTCTTGCCTCACTTCGAGTTACACTCTCTGCTTCCTATGAATCCTTAAAGATGTGAGCACTCAGCTTTCTGCCCCAGCTGCCTCTGCTGCCATGCCTCCCTGCCATGATGGACTCTTACCCCTCTGGAACTGTTAAGCCAAATAAACTCTTCCTTTCATAAGTTGCCTTGGTCATGGTGTTTTATCACAGCAATAGAAAAGATACAGTAAGAGGGGATAAAAGAACACATGATATGAAAGAACAGGGGACAAATCCTGGGAATTGTAGGTTTAAGTGGGGATGGGAGCAAGAGGATGGGAGAAAGGGAAGGGCAGGTAGAGGGCTAATCAAAACTAAGGATATCTGAAGAAGGCTTATGAAAACTCCTAGTTTGTAAGCTAATTTTAAAAAATGAGTTGGAATAGAGATACCTTGCATGGGTAAATAAAATCTCAGACCCAGGCTGTGCTATCTCCCTATAAGTTACTGGTCATGAAGGCCTCAGAGTCACACAAAACAACACAGGCTACTGCCACTGCTTTTGGCTATCCGCCATAACTACATGGTAAAATCCTACTACTAAAGACATACACATTGCAGTTGCGGGACCTAGAGAAATCAATCTCAAACTCAACAGGAAACTGGCTCCCTGCTGGATACCTTTCATAGTGCTGGAAGGTACTATATAGGTTGCTGAGGAAGAAAAAGCAACAGTGGTTTTACCCCAGTGCTGAGCTCTGCATGCTGTAATACTGAACTTCTAGGCAAAATGTGCTCACTGGGGCAAGACTGATTGTTACAGGGGTAACCGAACTCTTTCTGACTGGATTTGAGGCTTGCCTCACAAGAGGAAATTCGCACTTAGTACTGCAAATCTGGTCAAAAGCCCATGGCTGGGAAGACATAGGCCCTAGAGAAGAACCTACTGTTGTTTGGTCATATTGTTAAACTGCATTCTAAAAATTTGTTTGTACCCATGGATTTGTGTTGCTCTCTCCCTTGGTCAGAAAAGCTTCTTTCTGCAGTAGGCAAATGCAGTAGACTTAATGCAGAGATGCATAACTGGTCCAAATAACTGAGAAAAAGTGACCCCAAGTAGTTAGGCATACATAGGACAGCTAGACCAACCTACTGCCCTCCCCAGGGCTCAGAGAAATCATGGAAAGGGGGATGGAAAAAAATGTAAGAGCCGGAGGATGGGAAAGAGTGTTATGAAATACTATCTTCTGCATATAACATGCCCACTGTCCAATCTCACAGCAACTGGGGTTAGCTCATTTCCCTGTGGCTGGCCCCACACACATGCACATATGGGCAGCACAAACTGGACTTGTGGGATTAAAATAAATGACAGAGGGCAGACTGCCAGAGAGCGCCGAGATCTGGCCTCCCTCTGGCAGAAGGCCTGAGAACACAGGGGACTGCCCGAGAGCCCCCCAATATTGCCTCCATGTAATGGTCTTTTTAATAAGATGATGCTATACAGGAGTCCCTTCTGCATAAAGTAACTACCATCATCACGATTTCAGCTGAGCCTGATCGCTAAACATCATCACAATCGGGCTTGCTGATGGTTGTGTTCATTCATTAAAGGAGGGCCAAGTAGGGTCACTGGACCCTCACCGGATTATCCAGCCACTCTTCCCAGCCAAATGTATGTAGTTTGGCCCTAATCACACATAGCCTCCTGGATTTGGGGAGGGCTAAAGTATACAATTTAGGGAAGGCTAGGAAGAGAAGGCATGACCCATGCTGGGTAAAGGCTTTCCAGTGTGCATACCCTCAGGTCACACATACACCTCAGCAACCCCTCATTATCTCCATAAGCAACCTCAATAAGTTCATTGGTTCCCCAGTAAAACTTTAATCAAACATTGGCTTGACACTAGGAATAAGCATTACTTAGCATCCCCAGGAAAAGAAGTCTCACAACAGATGGAAAATTTATTTGTTAATGCTATTATGTCTCTCTTTTTTTTTTTGGTCTTTTTGAGACAGGGTCTCCCTGTAGCCCCAGCTGTCTTGGAACTATGTAGACCAGGCTGGCTTTGAACTCACAGAGATCCACCTGCCTCTGCCTCCCAAGTGCTGGGATTAAAGGTGTGCACTACCACACCCAGCCATAATTATTTAAAAAAAAAAAAAAAGAAAGAAAATGAGAATGTAAAAGATGTTGAAAGGATATGGGAATGGACATATTTTCCAAAATAGATGGAAAAAATGAGAAAACCTAAGCAAGTGATAAAGGTCTGTGGAGGTTTGTTATGATATACAAAGGATGAGACAAAAATAATATACACATAATCTTAAAATTTCTATGGTCATAGTTTATTCAACTAGTTTGAGGCCTATACTAATGTGGTCAGAGGGACTTAAAGGACAGTTTTTGCCCCTTGCCCTCCAAGGTCG